TAGGTGTATGCTCTCGCTAGTTGAACATAACAGAAACACGTCGTCCAAATCGGAATTGTACTGGGCTGCAAAATCTCTGATGGTGGAAGCCGATAAGAACAGCCATAATTTTTTTTAAAAAATCTAAAAAAAGCATACCGCAATTTCCGATTAAAGTACGTGTGATTAAAATTATTTTAGAAAAAGAAAGTTTGAAACTTTGGCATTTAAGCCCTGTTAGGCTATTTCAAGGAGTATAATACCTACCTGATATTAAATACCATTTGATTGTACATTGATATAATGAATTTAGTCAATATTATTGTAAGAACCGTTTTCAAATAATTGTAAAAATATAAATTTTTATATATATATATATAATATATATATATATATATATATATATAAAAATTTATACATAAATTTGTATATATATATATATATATATATATATATATATATTATATATATATATATATATATATATATATATTTACAATTATTTGAAAACGGCTCTAACAATAATATGACTAAATTCGTTTTATACATATATATATCTATATATATTTACAACTTTTCTTTAATCGATGTTTGAGTATTACATTTTAACATAAAGATTAATTGATAAAATAACTGACATTATTCCCAACTAAATAATTATGTTAATATATAAACACACATAGATATGATCTTACATCGACATCGGCGAAACCATATGAAACGGATTTAAAATGCACCCTCATTCTCCTCCTATGACATTCTATTTTTTTCTGAAAAATTAAAAAAAAAATAAGACTGTTCCTCTTCAACCCAAGCAAGGCCTAGATGAGCTCTCTAGAACAAACACAAGGTTGTCATGTGATTGATCCAACCAATCTCAACCACCAGGTTCATGTCCAGAGCCAATAAAGAGACAGATAATCCTTACTAAGTACGGAAGAGTCCCTAAAACCACTGAAGTTGTAGGGGATCTTTGTCATATAAACCTTCTAGTAGAAATCCATTGTAAGGATCTTCCTCTCCTTTACACTGTGGCATATCGTCCTCCCCATGTTCCATTTGATCAATCCTTCGAATCAACCCTATTCAACTTCGTGCCTCTATATCCCAGAATAATCATCTCCGGTGACGTCAATACCAATTTCCTCTCTAACTCCAATGACAAATCCTATCTAGAAAACCTAATTTTCTCTCTGCACCTCTTCATAGTTCCATTTTCCCCCACCCACCACACCAGCAGGTCAGACACTTGGCTAGACTTCTACATTATAGACTCTGTACAAAATCTCCTCTCCTCTTCTCAATTGCCAGTATCATTCTTATCATCTCACGATCTCATACAAATAACATATAATATCCAAACTCCTTCAATCCAACCTCGAACTATCACCTTCCGTCACCTAGATTCCCTTACTCGTGAAAAAATATTACCTGACCTAGAAACCCTAGATTGGAATGGAATATATTCTTGCTCTTCCATCGACTCCATGGTTGACGTTCTTACCACCAATCTTCTCAATATTCTCAATACCCATGCTCCCCTCAAAACCTCTACCTTTCGTCACCGGCCTGCTCCTTGGATGTGTCAGGAAATCAAAGATCTGCAGAAGAGGCGCGACGCTGCCCGAAGACGTTTTAGACGTACGAGGCTTGTAGATGACTACCAAGCGTTCAGAGTGCTTCGCAACTTGGCACAGACAAGGATTCGGCGTGCGAAAGCATCCTACTTCCATAAAACCCTTTCCTCAGCTCCTGATATCAAATCGAAATGGCTACTGCTTCTTAAACTTTCCAGATCCCCTACCGCAGCCTATCCTGTATCCTCCGATGATTTAAACTCTTATTTTATATCTGTCGCTAATACCTCTTCTCTACCTTCCTCTTCTGGCTTTGCTCCAGAGATATCCTTTAACGACAATAACTTTTATTTTTCCGGCATTTCTCCCACAGACCTGTTAATCGCGATAATGAAATCCCACACCAATTCCATAGGGCCAGACGGCATTCCTGTCAAATTAATAAAAATATGTCTACCTGAAATCCTCCCAGCTCTCCTTTTTATCTACAATTTCTCCCTTCAGAATTCAGTATTCCCTACCTCTTGGAAAAAAGTCATTGCCGTTCCTTTAAATAAAAAGCCTAATCCATCCTCACCCGAAGATTTCCGTCCAATTTCAATTCTTTCTAACCTCTCAAAGCCTCTTGAAAGACTGGTGCAATCCCAAGTCTCCAAGTTCCTCGAAAAGTCCAACCAATTTGATCCTCTCCAATCTGGTTCCCGTCCCGGCTATTCCACACAATCTGCCTTAATTAAAATTACCAACGACATTCAATCTGCAATAGATGATAGAAAATAAACTGTCCTTATTCTTCTAGACTTCTCCAAAGCCTTCGATTCCATCAACCATTCCATCCTCTTCAACAAACTAAAATCATTATCTTTCTCCAATAGTTCCATCTCTTGGTTCTAATCTTTCCTCTCCCAACGCACCCAAGCAGTCTCCATACCCAACCAATCACTATCTGCTTTCCTTTCTTTATCCTCTGGAGTTGTCCAGGGTTCAAGCATATCTCCTCTCCTTTTCAGCTCCTACATTAACGACCTACCTAAATCAATTCTCCATTGTTCCCATCACCTTTATGCAGATGATTCCCAGATCTACCTATCCTTTTCTCCCTCTGAGTTACTGGGGGCATTTGCCAAGATTCAAGAAGACCTTGATCGAATCAATGCCTGGACAAATGTAAATGGATTAAAGTTAAATGCTGCCAAAACTCAGGCCATTGTCATTGGTTCCAAGCCCCTTATTAGATCCCATACTGACTTTCCCATATTACACCTTAATGACCAGCCAATTTCCTTCTACTCCTCTGTTAAAAATTTAGGATTTTTCATAGATCAAACCCTCTCCTGGACCTACCATATTTCTCACATTTCCCGTCGGACAATTTCTACCCTTAAACTATTTCATCGCTTCCGCCATCTCCTACCTCAACATATCCGTAGACTCCTAATTTCCTCTCTCATCTTCCCCCACTTTGACTACAGCTGTGTGGTGTATGATGGCCTCTCGGTGGAGCTCCGTGATAGACTGAAAAGATTAATGAATAGCTGCGTAAGATTTGTTATTGGTGCCCCGAGGTACTCCCATGTCTCTCACCACTACACTGAGTTAAGGTGGCTCTTCCCCTCCTTCCGAAGACAATATTTTCTAGGTACGTTCCTCTACCAAATCATCAACAACCATCGTCCTTCTTACGCCTACAACCTTCTCCAGTTCAAATCCTCAGTCCATTCCCTGTCCACAAGATCTCGACCTTCTGACCTTTACATGCCTTCTCACAGATCTGCCTCATTCCAAAATCCCTTTATTGTTCGCTCTGTCAATTTCTGGAATTCCCTCCCTATCAAAATTCGACATTCCTCCTCCATATCCACATTCAAATCCCTCCTATTCCAATTCCTATCACAAAAACAGTCAGATACTTGCTAACCATTCGAGCGGATTTTAATAGAGAATTTGATACATTTTTATTTTTTAATTCTTTATTTTTTTCGGAAAAGTGTATACTGGTCTATAAGAGCAAATAGCTTTAAGTGTCTTGCCATAGTATTAATGGTTTTGTATATAGTTTAGTTTGTTTTGTATATAGAATTTTTACCTTATATTTTTTTTTACATTATTTCTTTTTTTCGATTGATTTTATTTTGGCCAGATGTAATATTTTAATTTTGTTCTATTTTGTTATTCTCTAGGGACTGTGTCCCAGAATAAAGTTATTTTTCTATCTTCTCTCTATAAATCATTGCGATTACATTCAAATTTAACATTAAAATAGGCTTATCTTAAAAATGGTGATATTCTGTTGTTAAAGAAAGTAGAAATAATAACAAACTATAATTCTGAGGTAGAATAAGTAATTGTGAAAGAATGGCTAGGTGTAAAAAAAAAATAATAAAAAAAGACTCTTTTGATTCGTATGTCATAATTAATTCATTTAAAGTAAAATTAGAATTAAGATCATTTCGACTGTAATGAAAACAAGCTGTAGAGAATTGATAATTCCTCACAATAAAAAAATAACATAAATATTTTTAAAAATAATAATATCCGATTCTCAATCTGCAACGATAAAATAAATAATAATATTTACAATCTCGAGTAAAGTTTAAAACTCTTGAAGTCCTTTCCGGGGTATAAATACATGCAGCCAATTTAAACTGAGCATACCATAAACAAAATTCTCATCTAAAATTAAATACTTGATAAACTGCAGAGATAATTAAAAAATATGACCAAGTATATTTTTTACAAAAAGGATCTGATTATTAAGATTTCTATCATCAAGCGAAACATTCTACCACTTCCATTCTTTCCGTCAGAACAGCAGACGTTCCTCAACGTAAAACGGGGCGTCCAGGCTGCCGAATTCCTCTTTGATTATGATTCCGAACCATTATAGAAGAGATAAAACAAAAGCAAAGAATTCGAAAATCCCTGATGCGAGAACATTAGGAACAAGTCCTTCGCATCAAGGTTGTCGACTTCCTTACAGTCAGCAGCCCGCTTCCATTTGCTATGTCATACCTCCTGTCCTTTATTTCTCCCTCCACCTTTGTTGATCTGTCATTTGCATCTTGTTGAGTAGCTATTCAAACATACTTCAACTCAGGGATCAACGCCCCCATCGTGTACTTCCAGAGATGGTTTGCATGATGACTTAACTACTTCCAACATACCGGAGTTGTCTACTTGAAATAAATAATCTATCAATTATTATTATTCCATTATATATTTTCCTTCATTCTATGCTTCTTCACCAACTCTAAGCAATTAGTATAAAAGATAATTTTAACACTGAGAAATTTAAAAGAAGTGGTGAAGATTTTCTGTTGGTATATTATTCAGGAATATTGATATGCATCATTCAAAAATTTGTAGCAAACCTTAACAAGAAGGAACTAACTTCCCTGAAACACTTTCAATGACAATGATCCATAATATTCTACTCATTGTTGCAGGTCCAAAGATGATAAACCATAAAAATTGCTTCCTTGCAATTTTTGCTGTTGTACTTCTACAGGTAAGACAAGATTTTCCGTAATCACTTATTTATATTAACGATTTATCAAGATAGCCTTGGAATACAAGTGGATCCATGAGTGGTGGGAGGGGAGAGATTTTCGGACCAAAAAACCCTCCTCCTCCCAAAATAAAAAGAAACCTTTTATTTTTTTAATAGTCCACATTTGTTCCAAAGAAGGATCTGCGATAATATTTAAACAATCACAATCTGCACTCTTTTTAAATTATCAAGTATATACTTACTATTTAAAATCGATGACAATACATGCAAGTGTCAATAAAAAATATAAAAACATTTTTGCTAAAAGCATTACTGTTACTTTAACTATTATATTGTTTTTTTTCTGTTGTTTTTTAATAGACTTTCAAGAACCTCTTAAACATGATTTTAAACAGCTCCTTTCTTTTTTTTTCCCAGAACAATTACAAATATAAAAAAAATTAAGAATATACTAAAAACGCCTTCTCTCTAAAATTATATACTCATTGCACTACTGTCTTGGAATGACAATAATTAAACTACTTTATTAAGATAATTATGATTATATAACTTCTACATTCAGGAGTGCCCATCCCCCCCAATGTCGATGGAACAAGTACCTTCTTATCCCCCCTCCACCTCCCTCCCAAGATATTTTACTAACAGAAGAAGCTAGGGTAGAATCAGAAAAATCATCGTAGATCATATACAATTTCACATGCTGAGGTCTGTTTTATGTTTTTCCCTTGTCCTTGAGTCCGAAAATTCATAACCCCGTCGAAATTTGTCTCCAACAAAAATTAAAAAACCCATCAATGTATGCTCCCCTCAAAATCTTTAATGGCGCAGCTTACGCTGGGCACCCCTGTCTACCTTAATATAACAAGTCTAGTCAAAACATTCTGAGCCGTTTTCCAGAAAAGTATAAAAAGAAATGTATGAAGTAAAATACCATTTCACATTACTTGTGTCCATGGGCGGGTATATGGGGGAGGGAGGGCTTTGGGGCTGAAGCCCTTCTCCCAAAATGGTAAAAGATAACCATGTTTTATGGAAAAAATATAAAATAATTATCTCTTATTGTTCGTTTAATTACATTTAAAAGACTTTAGGAATCACTTAAACACTATTTCATATAGATAGTTAGTTTCTTTATTTTTTTTCATAAGTAATTATCGTTATTTTTATTTTAAAAAAACGTTTTCGGGCTGAAGTTCCCCCAAAATTAAATCCTGGATCCGCTAGTGCTTGTTTCAGTGCGCGTTGACAAAAAAGTTACCTTAAATAAGTAATTTCGGTTTCGGAAGTCTTTTCGATTTGTGAGCTGTGGCGTTCACCCAAAGGCAGACCGTTTTGCGGGACACGGATATTTGAATTTCGAGGACCATAAAATCTTTATTTCCGTTGAAAACTCGGATTTGGATTTTTTACTGATAACGTTAATTTTTCCTATACAAAGGATTTCATGCATAAGCAATGGAACGTAAGCAAATCCAAGACTTTCTCATGGAAAAGCAAAACAAAAATGAAAGTCCTAGAGATAAAAATCTTCCGCATTATATTTCTACTTTTCATAAGTAGACGTCTAAGCAGAAGTGTTCAGAAAGGGAGCATATTTTTATGGGATTTTGAATTTTTGAGGGGAAGCATTTAGACGGGATTATGCATTTTTGGAATGATAATTTCTAATCAGAGAACTAGGAAAAACACGGAAAAAACCGCATCAAGTATAATTATATATGGGGGCGGGGTGTACGAGCGGTCTAATGCGTGTGCACAGCACCGTCGTTGCCCGACAACCCGGATCAAAAATAATTTGACTAAACAATCACGAGTTCGCGTCCTGGTGCCCAGAGAGGTTTTTTAACTAAAGCATTAATTCCCCGTCCTGGCTCTGGAAAAACAGTATAACATAACAGGCTAGGAAGAGGAGGACAAAAAGAAAAAAAAAAGTTATTGTATATGAGGTCGTGTGGACAAGCGTGTTGTAGCGTAAACTTTAGCATTCTCGAGTCTCACGACAAAGGTTCGAATCCGACCTGGATTAGTCAAAATTTATTTCGTGACGTTGCCACGTAATGAATGACGTGACCTTCCCACTCTGGTAAGAATACATTTCAACAACCCTCCGTATGCCAGAGTTAACGAGGCAGTTATATCGAGAAAAAAAAAGTGTAATTGTAAATGATCTTGAATTTTTAAAATTCTAATTTCGCTTACACTGCTTTTAAGAAGAGGAGAAGGATCAAATATCTTGAGAAAAGTAAGATTCATGCATTATTGGCATTGGCGGGGGGGAGAAAGGGAGAAGGAGAGATTCCCTGCATCTAAAAATGATGTAGGGTATTGATTATTGTTGTTTCCAATATACGGAAGTAATGTTCTTTTTCGCTTCTTCCCAAGTAACCAGACTTAAAATACTTTTTTTTCTTTTAATAGAACATTAATGGATCAAGTTACAGAATAGTGTCCACAATAGATCAATTAGCCTTCCTCTCAGCCCCCCTCCTCTAGCCATTAAAATGTATACAATGCTCAGTGGCCGATGAAGCGTAGGCTTTGAACCGATGATTGCATCAATGCAGCGGCCGAGGGTCAATCACAGGGTCCGTTAGTGATTGCCATTGACTATTGATATTATTGATAAATTAACCAAGACAATGCAGGTTATCTTCGCCGAGGTGGTCTCACGTTGTGATGGGAGATGGAGTAGGCGGCCTGTGTTTTATGTTTCAGATACCATCTTCCTCTCCATATACTTCAGAACATCTGACAGACTGCTGTGCCTATTTATCTTCTATGATGAGATTCATACAATGAGCTGTTATTATAAACTTAAAATATAATTTAAAAAAAAACATATCTGTTGCAAAAATGAAAATTAAAAACGTAGATTAAAACACGAAGAAATCAGAAGCAACCTTTTTAACTAACTAAATAAGAAAGATAATTTGGAATACTTAGTATCAACACTAAAAGTATAATATAAAAAGGCGGGAAACCGAATACGTCATTCAAATTCACAAACGAGTAAATATCCAAGTATATTCCGTCCCATTTAATAGAATTATAAAGTAGCATTATTTTTATATTTGATTTTCTTTTTTTTAAATGGTAAATTTTCTTCATATTAGAATCAGAGCACAAGGTGGAAAAAGACCAATAAAGAAACGCTTAAGGAAACTAGTCAACCAATATCTCATGATATTTATATGTAACATGCAAGAAGGTCAATTCTTAAATGTAAGAAGAGCATCTAGATTACAGTTATCAAACAGAAAGCTTCTGCACAACAGTAAACAAGATCGAAATTGAAACCATATGAAAACCCAGAAACCAGATGGATAGATTGAATCAACAAAGATGCTGCATTTAGATAACTGGAAAGAAATAGCCCAAAGAAAAAGAATAGCCCAAAAAAGGAAAAGGTGGAGAAGGCGGTAAAAGAACTACAAGATCTATAATATATTAAAAAAATCTAATAAAATTATTTAACAGTTCATAAATACCCAATAAAAAAGATTTTTATTTTATATCAACTATTATAAAACTTGAAAAAGAGAAATAGTAAAGTTGCTATAATTCCTAATATTGTTATAATTGTATATGGATGCTAAACGTGGAGACTTAGGCAAAGGGAAGAGCTAATGTGAGTTTAATCCTGAATGTTATACTTCTTCTGTTTTTCTGAAAAAGGATTCCCAAAACGAGAAATAATTTTTATTTATTTCAGTTCAATGGAAGACTCGTCCTATCTTATGGGTTATTCTTTATTTAATGCCATAGTCAAATTAAAGCCTCAAATGTACTTGAAAAATTTCTCTAGATATACCAAAATTTATGTTGATTCCTTTGCTATAAATAGGATTTTTGGATGAAATTTCAATAAGTGATTTGATGGCTGTCTTTGCATTATGGAAGTAATTTGAATAAAATGGATGATTCAAAGCGTTCGTAGTTCCATTCGGTCATTACAGATCAACGTATGAGTTTTCTTTTTTAAGTTCTCTACATAGAAACTGAAATCCGACTGGAACTTACAGTAGAGTATTTCATTACAGAAAATTTATCTTCCATTTCTTACAATATTCCGAAACAAATATATTCCAAGTATCATTCAGGCATTTTCTTTATGCGCCAGTGGAAATCATAAATTTATACGTGGTAGTCTATATCAAATGCAGACACCACGAAAAAGGAATAAAGATAACTTGTAAAGCTGGCCTTTGATCAGACCTTCTCCAAAGCTCCCTCATTACAGCCACACCCTCGGTGGATGCTCTGTTATCAGGCACGCAACAATTTGAGAACGTCCTTCCTCAAACCAAATGAAGAAAGTTAACTGGAAATGAGGAGGGGCTCGGCCCAGTCACGAATGATGAATTGACCTCTTAACTCCTCACCTACCAGACAGGTCTGCTACCTCATGAGTGATGTAGAGGGAAGTTGTCCGAAGGATATCTTCCAAATGCTCACTGGGCATTATATCTTCGGTGATTTGTGCTGGGAGTTACGAGTTTTTATGATATCCTTAAACGAAACAAGGACTCTTCCATAAATTTAAGTACCCAGTGCACTAAAAACAGCATTCCATAATTGGTGTAGAAAGAAGAAACCACCTTGTCTTGACATTCCACAGATAAAGAAAAAGAATAGCGATCCACATACCTTCATCATCTAACATAAATAAGTAAAAAGGACTCACTTACGAAAACTAAAATTTTCAATCCAAAATTTTATGACTAATAAATAAAGCGCCTTCATACAGCCAACACATTTGGTTTATTATTAATTACAATGTAGACATGGAAACAGCTAGAGTTTATGTTTCATTAATAAAAGGTGACAGAAAAAGAGCTGGATTTGAGACCTGCTTACGAGAAAATCCTGGCTATAAGAGGCTTTCCACATACCTGACATGCAAAACTATCTCATAATAAACTTCGCTGTCAGTCATTATTTTTGAGAAAGTTAAAATTTGTATTGACAATCAGCAGCTGACATTAATTTAAAATTAG